CACTGGTCCAGGTGACAGATGTCAACAGTTATAACAGCTGTCTTTGCTAACCTAGCAATATAGAAGGTAGACTCTTTTTCAAGACAGAACTGAGCTGTGAAAAAAGAGTTGCTCAAAAAGAATGATCTAGTTTCATACTGATGCACTCAGAAAATGAAGTTTATTATAAAATCACTGTGTGGAAGCAAGGCATCATTCTCTTACCCATTGCCTTTTATCCCTGGAGGTAAGGTGAGGCAATAACTATAACTCTCAGTGGCCTGTTAGGTACCATCTTTACAGACACACCCCTCCAGAAATGCAAGTATCTTAACACAACTGCATAAAGCAAGTTTGTTGTGGGCAGGTCACAGCATGCTGATGCAAAGCATAAATTTCATTAGCTGTGTGTGGGCCAAATTTCTAGAAGCCTTTGAACATTTCACTTGTGTTCAATGGAGCTCCACAATGTACTTTTATTCCACAGCTTTTAAATGCAGAAAGCCATTTTCTACTTATTAGGAGATAAATGAAACAGAATGGGATTTCCAGTTGAGGAAAAGAATGTATAATTCTTTTAAATATTGTCCCACCATCTTTCCTCACAGGAGCTTCCAAGATGGCATATAACGTATACCAGGATGGACATCTATTTATTTTAGTTTTAATTCTGTGGTTGATGTATACTTTTTATTGGTTTTGAATTATTATTGGGTTTACTGAGTTGCTGCAATATGTTTTGATTTTAATGGTGCACCACCATGTGTCTTTGTATAAAAATATAGCAACTAACTAATAAACTAAATATTTTACATTTATAATAGAGGATGTAATAACCAAGAACAACACCATCATTTAAAAACAATAATCAAAAGTCAATTACAGACTGAAAGGGCCAAAAACAGTGCCAAAAGTATTGTAAATTAGGCCCTAAGTGTACCTTTTTAGGGAGGGCATTCCAAAAACAGAGAGTCCTGTCTTTGAAAGGAACTTAGAATAAATCATAGCATACTGGTTAGCACTGAAACAGGTCTTTGAGGTATCTGGTTCAGTTCCTTTCCCCCAGAAATATGATGGAATTTTTTTTCTAGATTCTGAAAAGGCAATTTATAAGACTTATCTACCAATTTTCATTAATGATCCCAGGGCAATTTATCACAGGCCAATGAAACGATTACTGGAATAAGTAAAAGGCCAAACCCTCAGCAACACTTGGAAATATTTTGTATTCTGATTGCAAAACAACCAAAGTAATACGTTTTAATAATGTCATGTAAGAAAGAATGGAATTGGCTATATCCCAAACTCTTTCATCTGTGACTAAGAATGTAGTTTCAAAAATACAGATTGCACCATGCCCTGGAAGAAGTATGAATGTCTCTTTCTCAAAGTACAGGAGTCAACTGGATGAGTGTAAGATTGTAAGAAGATTTTGTTTTCAAATATAAGTTCTAATATAAGTTTTAGGAATAGGAATTATATTCTTAAAACAATTTAAAATCTAAGACTAAGTCTATACATTGCACAGAACTGTAGTTTATTTAATAATTGAATAAGGCTCTTTCTGATCATTGTGTTAAACTGCTACCTACCAGTCTCTGAGTTTGCAGAAAAGTATGCTACTGTAAATTCTGTGGCCCTCCTTCTCTGCCATAACAGTGTTCTTAAGCACCTGCCGTGTGACAAACTGAGAAGCAGGACTGGTGGGTTTGCCTGGCTTCATTTTTCCCTCCCATTTCCCAGTGGGCAAAAAACCACTCACTATTGTCCCTGGTTTGGGATATGGTTGGGTGAGTGTAGATGAGTCCTTAAAACAGCAAATTTATCCATCTGTCAAACTGACTAACAGATTGCAAGTGCAGAGGGGTACATGAGGTGGAGTGGGAGGGAATGTTCCCACTGCTCCGCTCAGTGCAGCCCCCCATTTGTCCGTTACCCTTCAGTTGAGCTATTACTGAAGAGTGTTAAACCCATCCAGCTGACAGGTTATAGGTGGGGAAGAGGAATGTGGTGTGAAGTGGACGATAATAACAACCAAGCTCCATCTTTGGCTAATGTTGCAAGAGAATTGTGAATGACCAGGGAGTTAGTCACCTTGGTCACCAGCACCCAAGTTGAATTGGAGTGGGCAAGATGGCGCCAGCTCCTCTACAGAAGCCCTTGTTGGTAGAAGCAGCAAAACACTTTCAGTTCACCCATTGTTACAGAACTAGCAACACTTGGCAAAACTAGCTCTTTCTCATGCTTTAAGCCAAGTTTCTGTGCAGCTTAGAAAATAAGTACTGCCAATAGAAGAGAATATATGTAGCTCAGGGTTGAACTGTGGAGTCCTTGGGGTTCTCTGAGCTTGGTTGTTTTGCAGAAAAGTAAGTAACTAAGTACTGCTTAGAAAACAAGTCTAGCACTCTTTCCAAAAAAAGCGCTAAACCTGTGTTTGTAAGGATCCCATGGAAAGCACTAGTCAGGCATTAAGCAGGAAGATGTCTCTGCAGAGACAGGTGCCTAGTCTCTCCTGTAGCCCAAGCCAAAATGACCACAGAGGGCAGCTCCCAGCAAAGGAAGGTGGAGGGAACATGTCTGCAGCAATCTAAAGTAAGCAGTAGGAATTGGGCATATCCCAACCCTTGAGTGGGTCAGCATCATTAATGTAGTGCAGTGTTTCCGAACCTTGACCACTTTAAGATGTGTGGACTTCAACTCCCAGAATTCCCCAGCCAGTATGCTGGCTGGGG